AGGAATTGCATACAAGATTATTTAGGTCATAATTAAAATAGTTTTTTCAAKTTTTTATTTATTTTCAATAMAAATATGGCAAGGCATAAAAACATCCTTAAGTAGTGAATAAGAAATACATAATTTACCACTTTTTAAAGAGCAAGCTTTGAARGAAATAATAGATGTAAAAAGAAAAACCAGGATTAGAATCAATAGTTTAATCAAGAGTTCCTGCTTACTGATTTCAGTCATGATTTAATGATGATTATACAGGCTATTTAAATGAAATCCTCATGCTGTGAAAATAAAATTCAATTCAGTAACCACAACCCCACACCTCCCTGATTCCCAGAACAAACTCTTAGAGGTGATGGCAAGAGAAAACATAGGACAGTGCTCAATATAGTAATCACAGGTACATTTATTTCAAGAATTCTACAAATTATTTATGATGTTTGTTACTGTATCAATTCCCAGACAATAGAGAAGTTCTGTCACTTTAGTTATAAATCCACTTCACAGGTGAGAGTTTGTGGATTTTGTCATTAGATACACTTGATAACAGAAACCACTCTAACAGCAAAAATGTTGWCAAATACCTATTCATGGTGAAGGATATCCACCAACACCACTTCTTACAAAAGAGACTGAAATGATGGAAGTTTTTGCTTAAGATACCAAAACAAAACTGGAAGGAGAAAATAATAATTTAAAAGAAGGAGAATTGAAAACTTTGACTTATGGTACTAAGCCAATTATCAAACTCATTCCATTTCTAGCCAGAACAGATTTTGGGGTTTGCTTGTTTATAGTTTTTGGGGTTTTATTCCTATAAATGTAAGACCCAAGTATTAACCAACACAGGAGCAGCCCTACTAGGTACCTCCAGYCAAGTACATTTTTCCTGTAGTTGATTTTGTATGAAAGAAATCAAATAAAAGCAGGAAGATGAGCACTTGAGCTGGTGCTCAGACTAGTGAGTGACACCTCATCCTCTGTGTTCTGGTACGCACAGGAAATCACATTTGACTCAAGTCCTGACAACGCTCCTGCTGCAGTGAGGAACAGGCAACACCTGCTACTCCTTGGACTTGCATGGGGCTGCCCAGATCCCCAGATTCCTCAGAACTTGTCAAGTGCCACAGTTTCCAACTATATTAGCAGAGGAAATGTTTTTYTATGAAATGCACACACAGATTTATATGTAAATAATAGAGTGACATTAGAGGCAATTCTGCCCTACACTCTATTTAAAATATGATATGCAATAACAGAAATATGCCATTTGCCAGTAAAACATTTCTATTTGCCCTTTTTATTCTTCCATAGGCTTAATTCATCTAGTGCATAGGAACTGTATTAAATTAGGTCCTGGGAYATTCCAAATTACTGCCAATAAATTATCTTCCTGTCATAGGAGCTAATTTAACCATCTTAGATTGCTTCACATGATTTGCAATTCTGAACTATTAACCATTTACAAGTCCCCTAATTTAACATGAAATAACTCTGTTATTAATCCAAGTAGTCAAATGCTTTAACAGTGACCTTCCCAAATCTGTAAGGGTAACAGCTAGGTGGCTSGATTGGAAATTTCAAATCAAGTTGGTAATTCCTCCCCACTTCCTTTCCCTGGTGGTGTGAACAGACCTTTTGGAGGATTAAATCACAAACAGTTGCCTTCAGCACCTCTTTGCAGAGTTCRTGCCAGGCTCTGCTGCCAAGACACACAGTGCACACAACCTCACTGGAAAAAATTCRGATTACAGGTTTCATTCCTCCTATTTGCAAATACCACTTCCTCTTAATGCTGAGGATATAGAAGCACCAGCATTTCAATGAAACAATCACTCAGTCTGGTCAGAGTTACACACTGTGGCAACAGATCAAGCCAGTGAGAACCAGTGTTTTCAGTACACTGCAAAATTCAAGCACAGTCTCTTAACTACACTTGAGCTCTGAAACACTAATGGCCCCTATTAAGCATTTAATATTGGAGCCTTTCAAGAGCTTTGCAAGGAATTAACCAAAACAGACTGCTGATAATTCCACTTCTGGGGCAATGTCCTTCCCAACACAATAGTGCAAAAGACAGAAAATAAATTGGAAATTGCTGTCTCCAGCTGATGAAGCAACTCTGAGAGTAGAGAATTCTTTGATAAGTTAGTCGCACTGAGAAAACTATGAAAACAAAAAGGTATTAAATTCAAGTTAAAGACACATAGATCAGTTAGTCTGGATGGTTTCCAACTTGAGTAAGTGTGTTAAATACCACCACTTGTATAAAGAGTACCATGGGATTCTTTAAAGATTATTTCCAACTGTGAGTTGTGCTTCTGATCCACAACAAGGCATTTGCTGTAAACAGAGGCTGGAGTGAATTCAGCACACCCTACTGAATTASTGAATGAGTCCAACCCTGCTCTGATTGGGAAAAAAATAACAGAACCTGACCATTTAGGTAAAGAATTACTTAAATGCATTGATTCTTCTGCCAGAACTCCTACTTTGTGAAAGAAATYATTTATTTTTATGGTACTATTAACCTTGTTCTGGAACATACTGCCAGGAAAAGAAAAAGCAAACTATCATCTAAAATATGATGGGTTGCCATAATTTAGCCTCATTGTAGAAAAGGAAAAAAAGAACAAAGCRGAGGAGCACTTTGCCCATGCCCTACCATCTCCAGCCCCTCTTGCTCCTTTTTAAGGTTGCCCACCTCTCTACCCTTTGCCTTGTCCCAAATCCCCAGGCACTACTCTTAAAACCGTACAGTCCACACTCCCGAGCCTCATATTAAGTTGTTTCTGCCCAAAAAGCTCTAAATGTTTTTATCAACTCCCATGACAAAATCTTGACAGTGAAGAGGGCAACAGCACAACTCAAGGGCTATCAAGGGTACCTTGCTAAAGATAATGCATATAGTCAGCCAGTGGCTGCCCTCAACTTTGGTGAATGTTCCATAAGCAAAACAATTCCTGCCTTTGAATTAGCAAATATAAAGAAAATCTTAATACTAACTCTGACTCTGCCCTGCTGAGCAGAGATAGAGGGAGCTTGTGGCCTTTGTGGTCAAAWAAGCACCTCACAAAGTGCCAGGCAAAAGAGAAGTGTGCTACTCAGTGTGGCCACACTCCCACACTTCCCCCAAACACACACACACTGCTCATGTGCTACCTCTGACCCTACTCACAYGCTCAGGCTTCCATCAGAAGCAAAGCCTGTGCAAAGATTTCAAACTCTGTCCACCTCCCACAACTAAGACAGGACACAGCCAGAGGTTACATGAGGAGAGAGGTTTGCACCACACAGCATTCTTCCCTCAAAACAGGACAGTTAAATTAACTCAGTGCAATTAAAACTCAGTGCAAAATTACTCATCAGATTTTTGTTTTTTTGAAGACACTGCCAACACTGTTCCCGGGCTTCAGAGTTTATCTGCTTTTTAAGACTGTTTTCTTGTATTTAAAGGAAACTTTCTGATTTCTGAAATTTAAATTCTTGCTTCTTCCCCCTCTACCAATAACCATCAAAACATTCATAAATATAAGACATTAATCTAGTTACTACAGACTTGCTTTTGGGAAACACAGGGAAAGGGAATTTTTTTCCACCCATKAATAAAAGAGGGACCTTAAAAAGCATGAAAGTTCATTGTGCAAATCAAAGTTTGAAAATTAGGCCTCCTGGGATCAGTCCTCCTCCCCTTCTGGTTTAAAAGTGTAGAAAACAGAAAGTATAATCCCTGATGTTTCACTGACTTGCAGGTCTACAGTGTYTGCCCTCTGAATATGCCAACACTGCAAGAGTAGGAGCTAATCACTCTCTAGGTTTCATCATAATTTATAAATGCCCAAAGCACCTCACTGGTACATCCACTCAGCAGTACAAATTGGTCTGTTTGTAAATGGTTTCATCTACCTGCCAGCAGAGAGATGAAAAAGAATATTAATAGCATAACTGGGCAGTTATGTAAATTGGACAACTAAAATGATTCCAAATAATCTCTACGTCTTTCCTATCCCCACAATAAAATTCATTAATCCTCCCTTTTGTAAACAACCTTTGGCAGCCATGCAATTTTTTTTGCAGCTGTCACTAGAAGAGTAGCGAAAAAAAGGGAAGAAAATAGATTTTGGAAGTTGGCACTCACTCTGTGTAATTGTGTTTTTTTCTGATCACCAACAGCTGAAACAAGGACACTAACCATTTTTGAYGTTACTGTTTTAAAGCCATTTGTTATGCATAAATCTGCTATTTGTTCCTAACATACTGGTTGCAATTTTCTAATTATTTCTGACTTCTTATTTTTTTTTGTTAGCACCAAAAACTGTAAYATTTAACTTCTCTCCACAGTAATAATTAGGAATTTACAACCTCTCATAGCTACCCTGTCAACACAAACTGGATGTAAGCAATTTTTAAAGTGAGTGGTAGTAAGATTTGTAAGAAAAAAATATAAAAAAGCTATCATACATATAAAAACTATTAAAGTCTCATATGAAAAAATAGTTTTATCCAAGAACTAGACTGYATAATTAAGCAATTCAAATCTTAGCTATAAACTGATTTTAGTTAAAGGTAATCTGACTCATTTTAACTAAGTATCCATTTTCTGAAATACCCATCATTTCTCCACAGTGGCTGATCAAACTTGCCAGTGAAAAACATTTTGAGTAGGCAACTTGTAATACAGCTATGGTTTATTTCTGTCAGAGGCTGACTGCTGAAGTGTGAAAGAAACTCATTAAAAACTTCTCACTGCGATTCTGCATTATAAGAAAAAAAAAAGAAAGAAAATACTTAATGAAGAATACACTTAGCCTGAAGACACATTCATATTCTGACTTGCATTTTACACTGTTTCAGTAGACAATTAAAAGACAGCAATTAGTCATAGAAACACTATTCATACTGGTCATACTGGGACATTACAGACTTCAGCACTTATATTAACATTATGAAAGTAATAAGGGAGATCAAGATAATATAGCTAAATAAATAGAAGAATATCTTACCTTAATCTTAAAACAAGGTTCACTGCACATGGAACTTCACTATATTCCTCACTAACAGCAGGCTGAGACTATTAGAGAAAAAAGCAACATGTCTTGTAAAGGATGCCGAAAGGGAAAAAAAAAAACATCACAAAAAACTTTCCATGCTAACAGTTTGAAGTTAGCACAGAATATTTAACACATTCTCTAACTCTCAGAAACCCTTTAAACACTTTCGATACACAGTCTAAAATATAGCTGACACCAGTAAAACTGCCATACTTCATTTACAGAGAAACAARTCATAAATAAGGCCTGCATTAAAGYATTGAGTGTGGGAGCTCATAATCCACCCTGCATCAAAGCACCAATAACCTATTAAATAATATGCACACAGTGAGAATACCAAACTGCTACTCACATTATTTTTGTGTAACAGTTTTGGTTGTTAAGGAAGTCTTACATCTACCCTTATGAAAGGAACTAGTAGCATATCAAAGCAGTATCACAGCTCAGAGCATGTCTTTCACAGAGAAAAATCAGGAGCACTGGTATCGTTCACATTATCACTCCTCCCTCACACTGTGATATCCTCCCCAGCTCTCAACTAAAATTTGTATGAAGTCTCAAGCAAAAGTGTATCCTACATAGAAAATGCACCAGCCTCATCTACCCTACTATGATTTTATACCCAAGTTGRCATATTGTCACCACTCACAGAACAGCCTGTTCAAAGGTTACAAAGGGTTCAAAAGTCCTCCCAAAATAAAGGCTTGCATCACAAATTTCATTTGACACTTTTTTAAACAGTTCTCTATATCACAGCTACTTTAAAAAAATTATACAGGATCCATATTTTATTCTGTGTATTTTCAGGAAACATTAATGAATATTTGGAAAATTGTTTATCACAATCACTAAAATGAGAGCAGGTTTTTTTTTTCTCCTTCAATTAAATTCCTTCCATTCATACAGACTACTACTCTTATTTCTGCATCTTCAACAGASATGTTATGTCAATGTATAGGAATGTGCATCCCAAAGACCCAAGAGGCACTAACTTTTTTTATCATGAGTGACCTGTATAAACTGAGTAATAAGCAGTAGAACTCCCAACATCTAAGACAGAAASACTGTGTCGTGGAAGCCCTGTTTTTTGTACCCAGCTTACATAAGGTATCTCAGGCCTGAAGCGCTGTGTAAATCAGGCCTGCAAGGGAGACACTGGGGTCATCACAGGAGCTAACAGGACCAAGTCTGGCAGGAAGCTGCTAGGCTTTCAGAAGATTTCTCTGACACCAATGACAATCAGAGAATCTAAAATTGCAGGTGAAGTGGCAAGGGTCACCCACCCAAGCAACAGACAATTTTAAAAGAGCATTTAGTCTGTAAGCCACCATCCTGGTAAACAATTGTTTATAGCAGCGATGCTTCCCACACTAACCACAGGGCCATGAAATTCTATATGGTATTTTATTCTTCTGAATTAATCAAATTTGCTTCAGTACTGCACTATTTTACTGTGTATGGAAGGAAATACTTTAATTATAAGCTCCATGTCACGTTATAAATCCTAAGAAGAAAAACTTATTTGGAGATGTTCTGGTTACTCCAACGCACTTTTCATTACTCTGATAAAGACAGCAATTAGCATGATCCAGTTACGAAGATTCATTAAAACCAGCTAAATTTACCTATCTTCATGAATTCTCCAGGGCACAAACAAAACATGACTTTTAAATTCCTATCCATCTTATCCCCTGTGTGCTGAAGTTCATTGTTACAGGCACAATGGCATACAGCTCTATCCTCACAAGTACTCGCCATACAAGGCTGCAGAACAACATTCCCACCTCAATTCACATTTTCAACAGCACACATGAAAAAGAAATCCCTTCACTCAAATGCCTGGAAGAAAAAAAAATTGACAAAGACATTTTTACCTCTGTGTTCTCCTCCTCTTTCAGTCTTCGTGACTGGAAAAGAAATGCAGTGAGAAATGAGCTACGCAGCTTTATGCAATACAGATCCAGAAATACTAAAAATTAACACACAGACAGAATATATTGCAGAATGTAAATGTCTTGGCACAAACAGAAGGTACCTTTTCCTGAGAAACAGCAGCTTTKCCTTCCTCACTCTTCTCATCCATTTCATCATCACTCCATTCCCAGTCCCCATCTTCTGTTTTATGGAGGTGACCACTTGAACCTGGCACTCGTCTGACCTGCCAAAACATTGTTTACCATCACAAAGACATCTTTAGTCTTCATTATGTTCTGGTTAATCAGCRATTATTTGCTATTCTTATTCTATTTGCTTTCAATAATTTGCTGCCAGAGCCACTATATTCTAATAATATATGACCTCCTTAAGCCAGAAGGAATAGCTAAGCTATACAAAACTCATGTAGGGCAACAGGGCTTGGATATATTTTACAACCACTTAGGAAGAAGCTCAAGTAGATGGCAATGCTTTCTGCTTGAAATTAAAGGAAGCAATTAAAGGAAGAAGTTACAGAGACTTCAAGGTTGTTCTTGTGACCAAAGTCTTAAAAACTTCGATTACTCTGCCAGAAGGCTTTAAGATGTTCAGAGGTATTAAGAATACTTTAAAAGTAAAATTATCCTTATTTAAAAAAAAAAAAAAAACCAAAACCAAAACCAAAAAAACCGCAGCTGTATGCAGCCAGAGAACATACAGTTCCCACTGCAGAACTTCAAACACTTGTACAGGTAAGCTCCACAGCGTTATCAATTTGTAAAGCTTAAAACATATCCTTTTCAACTACAAGAAAGGAACAAAAGTTATTTCAGAAAACAACCTGCACATTGGTAAGAGAACAAAAGGAACAAAACATTCAGTATTCACAGCACATAAAAGAAAGAGTTAATTTGGCTGGAAAGTGATTTCAGGCCAAAAACAACTGCTGGAAAATATATCAATTAAAAAAAATTAAAATAACTAACTAGATGGTCTAGCTCAATACTACATATCCTGTTAGGCAGTATCCATAGCATTATACAACTGCCTGGTTTAACTTTGGTTTTGCAGATTCCCATCTGTGGTGTTTCAATGTCTTGAGTTGTACGAGCACTCATCAACTTTGTTCTGTTGGCTGGTGGCAGAGACGAAAAACACAACAGGGAAAAAACTAAACATAAAAATCTAATTTATGACTAGAAAAATTACTGGCATTTCCAACATAATGAAAATTAAAAGACTAAACTGATATTAGCCCTACCCTAAACCCCTCCAGCTGCTGCAAACCATAATGTGCAGAGAGATGTAGCATGTGACAGATTCCAGATGCTTCTAAATCCCACCAGGTAYCATATCAGCAAGATGCATAGCATAAAAATAGTATAGAACACGTCAAATCTGAGATCATGAGCTTCCAARGAAACTGTGATGCAGGCATTCATACAATTTTTCCAAAGTAGATCTTCATAGAAAGCTGGGAACTTATGATATTTCTGTACTGGGTTTGGGCTAAGCACAGTTTGGAGCTGGCCTGACACCACAAGAGCATGAGTGATAGGAGCCTTCTTTCAAAACCTTGTCCATACATAAACAGCTATCTTGATGTCTGTCTGGACTCTTTTCCACTCTTGTTTCCTTCACTTCCTGAAACCCCCCCTCTCCTCTCCCTTCCCTTCTGCACACGTAAGACTAAACCAGAGAAAAGGATGAAGTTTTCAGAACCTCAGCACACTTCTGAATCTCCTTCAGTCCTTACAATATTCCTCCCTAACACTTCTTCTGGGTACAACCGAATTAGAGTGCCCTACTCACTTTCTCYGCATTTTGTACTCATTTCTAACTGAGTGGAAACCTATGCAGAACACTGGGGGAATACCCTACTCCACTTGGGACAAACTCTGCACTATTTTCCCTGTTTTCCATACCAAGCTCCCAATACTCCCATTTAAGCCCAGCTGCCTCCAAGCTTGGTAGAAGCACCCTGTGTGGTTTGGGAGGGAGRACAGGCAGACATCAAAGGCAGCAGCAGCACAGCAATTCTTTACTCAGCTGCAATCAGCCCAGTGGGCTCTTACTGTCTGCACCATCAGGGAATCAGCACACACACAAGGTTATCTAGCAGGCAATTTGCCTGCTGCTTGTGGATGTAATTCATTATCCTTCAAGGATTGAGGCAGGCTTCTGTTTAACAGCACTGGCATCTTTCACATGGCTCTACACAAACCTAGRAGAGGACATCATCCACAACTAAAAGCATGCTTTTCCACCAGAATAGGATATATTGGTTTACARACACATTCAAACACTGCACCGTGCACTAATCAGTATTTCTCCTGCTTCCATTTTCAGTTGTTTTGAAGACCTATTCTAAACACAATTATTTTAATGGGGCTTAATGATGCTTGCATCATTTGCAGAGAGTTCTGGGAGAAAACTTAACTGATGATGATGGAGYGCATTTCAAGTTTTTTTAATAGATTGCCTTTTAATAAACAATAAACAAATGGCTCGAGGAAAAAAGTTAGCATAAAGCAAAATACCATGTTRAATTAAATTATTTTCTTGAGAGGTTTCTGAAAGCAGAAAAAGAAGTTTACTGGTACTCTGTTTCAATCAGATTGATTCCCACCAGCACATGTATTCCCAGGAAAGAAATTATAATTCCAGCTAGAGCAAAGTACCCAACCTATCCAACTTTCAAAAACGTAAGTTGTTGTCTACAAAATTTAATATTTGCAATGGTCGCTGAACTAATTCGCTCAATTTTTTGACTAATAAGCCTGACTTTGCTCAGACTCAGTTCTGGTTAAAAGAACTGAGTCACATATGGAGRGCATCTACCCTACCAATGTGAAAGAAAGCATGAGTAGCACACCATGTCTGCAAAGAAATTGTTTATTTAATTATCATCTAAATATCTAATATCAGATACTGGATAAAAATATATATCATTTATATAACATATTACATTTCTGTTCTGACTACCATTTGAGATACTACTAACAGGCTGATATCACAGGCAGCATAACTTGCATTTCCCTCCAATAATAATTAAAGCATTAAGACAATTGAGAATATTCTGTACATTTCTCCTGCACAAGGTCTTCCATTTTACAGAGAAAAGAAGCAGCAAACAAATGAAGCTATTTATATAAGGGCACAAAGCAAATCCAGGATAGAGCATGAAACCGAAACAAACTTCTTGTGCATCTAGAAAATTAGAAGCAAGTTGGTTTACGTTTTACACTGCATGCAGTAGCCATACAAATATAATTTCCCCATCAGCTTTAGTCACAATACACAATATTGATAATTCCTTATGCTAGAACTGTGTATCGCTCAGGAAGCATTTCAGAGGGAAAAGAAAACAAATTAAAACATGCTCAATTCTAATTTAGATTTTACTGATKAAAAACCCTAAATGAACCTTCCAAAATAGGAACTAAGCTGAATCATAGCTTTAGCTAATAAAGAAAACTACAAAAGCCTCCAGTTTTACATGACAAATTCACACATATTAGAAAACATATTTCACATAAGTCAGAGGACACCAGAGAATAAAAAATTCATTTGAATGACTGGCAGTTAAACTACAGCCAACACAAAAGCAGCTCAGAACATTGTAATGTACAATAAAGAGCAGTTTCTAAGAGGGCTTAGCAAGCCACTGCCAACTTACCAGAGCTGTGGAAGAAAGAGATTTTGAACTCTGGACTATCAATTAAACAGTGAGTGAAAAGAACATCACCACCACAGAATATTAAGCATTATATTAGCAGTTGTAGCATCGTTGTGTGTGTATATATATGTATATATATATATATATGTGTGTGTATATATATATATATATATATATATATATATATATATATATATATATATTGTTTGTGGTTAAAGCTTATTGTAGAATATAACACAGTCACGAACATTTGAGTATAAACTAAGCTGCTGACAGAACTATTTGTCCCGTCGCTTTCAAAGAAGGATACAGATAATTTAACATTCCCTGCCCCATGCACTAGCTTTCCAGGAGACTGTGTGTTTGCAGATGAACAGGGTAACTGCAAATCCCCCCCAATGGTCAGCCCTAATCAGTCTGACAGAGAGAGCTCCACCAGCAGAAGTTGCCCACACTTCCCAAGGCTTGATGAAAAGAAGGCTACAACACAGGCAAGCATAACATAAATTCTTGTTTTCTAGGCACTGATGTGCTCGCTATATGTAGATGCTAGAGACTGAAGAAAGAAGAATCTATTATTCATTACTGATTCTTTAGCTGCTGCAATCTCTTTGCAAGATTATTTTACTAAAGCCATAGCGAAGGGAATGAACACTTACTGAACACCAAGATTTTTCTACTTCCCTATTCACAACTGCTCAAAACAGCAAAAAACTGGGCCCACTTACAGATGTATAATCTTATTTCATTGTCCAAATGTAATAAATTAACAAGTAAAAAGGATACACTGTGGGATACCAATGCATGCACATAAAACATTACTGCATTTCATACATGGTACAGYACATGATTTCAGACTACATTACAAATCCATGCTGTTAGTAAGAGCAGTATTATGCATCTACTGTATTTTTCCTCATTCTGCAGGAAGATGACTGAACCAGTAACACTGACTTTCTCACTATCTGAATTATTTAAGATTTTCCTATTAAAGTCTCTGGCAACTGAACACTTGCAGTGGAGTTCTGGCTAAATTTAAACCAGTATTTTTAACTTTGTTCCACTGAAGGAATATGGTGACCTGAAAGTATGGTAAGTAGGATGTATTTGCATAAGCAAAATTGATGGCACTARTGAGCATTAATATTCAGTATCATGGAAGGTACCTTGCCACCTTCATATTCAGCTAACTTAGAGCCCAAGTTTAAYTTCTCCTGAATTCCCAGAAAGTAGTAAATGTGCAGATTCCACACATTTAAAGTGCATCTGCAAAAGTCTTTGTAGAACCCTGACACTGCTTCCTACTAATTTCTAACTAGCATCACACTTTGCTCTGTGTATTTTTCTCTCAAAAAAATCCCTAGATCTGTTTGTTCCATATACAGCTTAAGTCTATAGAGCAAACAGATTTTGTAATTTTTACATTTCACCACCTTGCAAACCTTTTCTGAATGTTTCCTAAGACACAAAGGCAAATTTCAATCCCTTCCCCTATGCATGTATTTTTATGGCAATGTAACAAAGAAAAACAGCCTATCATTGTGTATCCAATCATGGYACAAGCC